GAAAAGCAGCCATGGGTTAAACTCATTAAACAGAGGAACTGTATTCCATCAGTTGTGCAAAAAGAATATGATTATTCAAACAATGCCTCCAGTAAAGATGTGCAGCTTGCCTTTTCATTCTGCATCTCACCATGTAAAAAGAGAGATGTAAAAGAATAAAAACATCCTATTTTCTGAACTTTATTTACATGTGATTAAATCTGTACAAAGCAAGGTGGTTTAGGAGAATGAGTGGAGCTGAGGCAATAGAAATGAGACAATGGAGAGCAAACCCCAGTATCAATTACTGCTTTACACATTTTGGAAAGGCAAAGTATTGATGGTATTTTTGTCTTTATTGTTGCCTGCAATAGAATAGGAATAATTCCTATTCCTCTAGGTCACTGAGCTACTTACAGAATTAAATTGCAAAGCAATTTAATAATTTTTAAAGCAAGGAGTCAGAGTTGCCTTCAGCTCAACTTTCCATGTACCCAAAGAGCCCTTGTACTTCACGAGTTTCCAGAAACTCACTGTTAGGACCCTCTGGTCTCAGTTCAAGGTTGCTGTTGAGGTCAAGAGATTCAAGCTACCCTGTTCTTTATGACTTCAAATTTGCCGTTCACCATACAGGACCACATGGCCCCAGAAGACATCAAGCCACAGAATGAAAATGCCCCTGGGGTGTGTAGCAGCAATGCACCACCAGCTCAGCCTGAAAACCGCACTCAGTCCCTTGATATTTTATTGGACATTTGCACTGCACAATGGGCTGAGCTACATCCTTAGCTAACGCCTTTTCTGAAGGTAGACTCATTTCAGGCAGGAATTTCTGAGAAAACCAGATGCTATGCATGTGGGAGTGAATGTCCGGTCCTAGATAAGCGGTAGGCATGGCCCTCAGAGTGGGATTTTTGTCTTCTGCAGTTTAATTTCAGAGTGTACATCTGTGATTAATGACAAATGTGTTGTTTATTTTAAAGTCTCAACTATCCTTTTTGGGATTCAGTAGATTCTTGCAGGACATTATCAGAATCTGATTCTGGATTGTAATTACTGCTGAAATTTTACCTTTATTCTGAAACTATAATAGGATTCAGCTGTAAATATCTCCAGAATATAATTAAGACCATCTGGTATAAGGAATTGATTTTGGAAACATTTTTGCTGAAAAGGAAGACAAATGGACTCTTGGGAGTGGGGTCTCTAATAGTGTTTCCTTTTCCTCTGAAATAATAGTATGAAGTAAAACCATTCTGGGAAGTGTCAACAAAATCTTAATTTGGTGTACGAGGGCTGAAAAGCCAAAGCTACAAGGAGAACCATGGGACAAAATGTGTTTACACAGATGCTGGATTGTCTCCAAAACCTATGAAAACAGTGCTAAATCCTCCCAAGGCTGAACAATGGGAATGAAATGAGGCATCAAAGAATTATTAATATATGTGAACTTGCTCCCACCCACTCTCAGAGTGTGGGATTTTTTTTTTTTTAACAAGCAAAAATAATCAGCATAGTGCAAAGGGTTTCTAATCAATTCATTGTGTTAGCACATACTCAGACAGAGGAGGAGTCACCAACAAAGGTTTGATTGGAGCTGGCCTGCATTATTGCTTTTATTTTTGTAAAACAATTTCAAGTAGAATACAAGCCCTCTGCAAGGCAGTTCCTTCATAGAAATTGATTTAATGCATGAATTTTTTGTGTAAAATCTGCCGGTATCTGGGCTGGAGACTGACCCTCTGACAACTAGCTCAGGCACAGACTGACACCCCTGGCTGAGCTGGAATGGGGCTCCTGTGCTCATGGGAAGTGGTCAGGGAAAGGTCTGTCGTCAAGGCTCCTTGGGGTCCTGAAAAATACTTACAGGGCACCTATTTTCAGCATCTGACTTTAAGAAGAGTTACTTGGAATGCACTGCTTCATGAACAACAGAATATATTGGACATAATATACTATACAGAAGTGGATAAAGTTGCTTCTTGTTTATACTCACTAGAATCAACAACCCTAGATTCTTGGGTTCTAACCTGAAAAAAAAAAATAGAGTGCCTCTTCAGTGGTTCATTTTCTTTTTGGATGTTTGAGTCCCACAGTTAATACTGCTGAAGTAGCCATTGGCAAAGCAAAACAATATCTTCCTACACTTGACCTCCACACTTGAAGAAATAATCACTGCCTTTTTATAGGGCAGCTGACAGTGGGACTATAACCTCAGAAAACTCAGAGATTTCCCATCACTGACTTTGTTAAAAAACTTTGATCTGAAGTTCATGTGTGAGGTAGGGAGGGGAGAGGAAGAGGAAAGGCCAGTATTAATTGCAGAGATTGCAGGCAGAGTAGGACAACAATTTTGAAATAAATCATATAATCAAATCATAACAGGAAAATCTTTGATAGTCTCAGCATTGTACAGAGCCAGTAACCTCTCCCCAAAGCATAGTGCTCTTCCATTGATGTTCCAGGAAAGCTCAGGCAAGATTATCCTAGTGTGGTAGAATATCAAATCTAAATTGCTAAACAAATTCTTTTCTGACTCCTTTACTTCAGTTCACCCCCACCCAAATTCCTCCAAAAAACCCAACCAACCAACCAAAGCCCTAAACCCCCTTCTATGGAAACAACAGACCTACACCAATTTGAGAAGGCAGTGAGATATAAAGACACAAAACGGACACTGCTCATCATTTTAAATGAACACGTGTCGGAGTGGATGTGGAAACAGCTTCTCTTTGAGCAAGTTTTCCTTGCAGTTCAGTTTGCTTGACATGTTTCTTTTATCCCTTCAAAATATTTTCAAAAACATGCACTGAAGTGTTGCAACAAATCTTGTCTCCTTAATTCATATTTCTGCAGTATTATAAAGCAGTCCTAGCTGGATAATGTGCAATTTCTTCTTTTTCAGTTGTTCTCGGAAGTCTTATTTTACACCAACTTAAGTGATATAGTGAACTACAGAAAGTTATTCAGATCTCAGGACAATTGGTTGCTTTACACTGATGAGAACACTGTGTATTCACATGCCATGAAGAGTAGAACTTTTGGCTTGTATAATAACAAATAGAAGGAATTTGGAAAGATATATTTTCAAGCCTTGAGCGTTTAAATCTCGGCTAGTACTATAAAACAATTTTATAGTGCAGTTTTAATCCTATGGTCTAATGCAACTCAAACAGGTTGTATATATGGCAGTTCGCATCACAGTACACTCACATTGAAGTCAGCAGCAACGTAGGCTGAAGCTAACATCAAAATAAAGCAAATAAATATGTGAGCCTAAGTAGTGCTGGAGAATTAGCTATAAAGAACTCCACTTTCCTGTTGGTCTGCATCTTACCACTGATCAACTTCTGTGCTTAAGATAACTTCTTATGTGTGCCAAGAGGGCTTATAATGTTTGCCTTCCATTCAATGTCAGTGTCACTTCCATGTGCAGTCTTTCCATCATCAAGGCACCTTAATGGTCTATCTCCTTCATCAAGCCTCCAATTTTGCATGACATTTGTAGAAGAATAATTATCTTTGGGACCTCTAGCTTCTACTTCATATGTGAAATCAGAGAGCACACACACACACTTTATAAGCCTGGCTTCCAAAGGAAATCGCTCTAAAGAGATACTCTTCTGCCTTTTGTTTTACAAGAAGTGATCTCATTGTAATCAAAACGGATGTCCTATAAAAGACATGGGAAGCTTTTTCCATTCAAATTAAATATAAACAATTGACACTACCCAGTATCAGAAGAGTAAACAAGCAGCAGCAAGTGATAGACCAGTGACCGCAAGGAAGGCATAATGTCCTGCTTAAAGCAGTGATGTTGTTTCTTTTGGAAGGGAGGCAGGATTTTCATATTGTGCCCTGGATTGCTGCACCCATTCTCCTGCCACTGTTTGGTGTATTTCTGATCATGATCTCATCAGGTCCCTCATCAGATCAGTTTGGGTTCTGTTTCTGAGGAGATTCCTTCCCCTAACGACAAAAAAATCTGTTTCCTATATCCCATATAAGAATATAGCATAGATCTTCAGAGTTCACATTAAAGTCAGGAAAAATACTAAATGTAGGTGATATGAAGACTGGCCAACTCAAAAATAATATGTAATCTGATACATGCACTGAGCAGCTAAAATATCACTAGGGTTGAAGTAGCAATGGGTTCTGCAATGACTGATGATGCAAACCAGAACTGTGTGATTGTATGACTCGCCCTAGGCTCCTGAATCTGACTGAAATCTTCCCATCATCTCTCACCGAACAGTTGCACTTGTAAGATGTTTGTCTGGTATTACAGTTTCACCTAAACCTTTTTACTTTTGTCTGATCTGACATCTCTTTGGAAGAATAGTAGCATTGCAGGCTCTGATTCCCAACCAGCGTAAAAGTAATACTCAGGACACTGATTTTTCTGGTTATTTATTATGGCACTTTAAAGCATATAAACTCCATTGCTGGGTGTTTCAAGCCAGTTAAAAAAAAATAATAAAAAGGAGGCTTTAAGTTTTAGGCAGTACTTCAGGAGGTTTTGGTTAAGAGTTTCTAGACTGTTACTAGACAGGAAATAAGAATTTTGCTAGGAATACAGTCTTCTCAAAATAAGGCTTCCTTTCAGTAAAGCATGTGTGTGTTTTCTTAAGTTGATCATGTCCATTGGCTCACTAGTATATGTTTTTTCAGCTGAGAAATTAGTGGGTTTGAAACATGAAAACTAAGCCCTGAAAATACATTCCTCTACTTAAACACCACCAATGCTTATCTCTTACTCATACCCACCCAATTCTATTCATTTTGTACTATGCAAGTTAGAAACAACTCTAGAGCCTGAACTCAATGTTTTTTTTCTATTTCAGATTTTACTACCTTAGCAACTAAGGATGTTGGTCAAAATTCAGCTTGCTATTACCTGTTCGTTGCCATATATTTCATTATCTTAACCTGAAGGTGGTTTGTAGTAGAGCCTAAAACCAAACTGAGTTTTTACAAAACCTCACTTTAAAAGTCCACTATAGTAACAACATGTCCACTTCACATATTTGATAATTTTATTTAATAGCCTCATAAATTCAGAATAGTTACATAATAGTTACATCACGGCTTTTAAAAAGGATTGCACTCAGCTACTCAGTCCATTGAAATACTAGAAAACAGGGAAAAGGAAAATATGGAGTGTAAAGTAGCTCTGCCCACTCAACTGAGTTGTTTGTAGCAAGTTCCCACTGATGATGAAGATATTCTCATGCTTTCTGGTAGACTCTAATACACTTGACACCATTCATGTCACATTCCTAGAAGATAAAGAGATGGATTTATTAATTTGCCTTAGTACAGACTATAAGGGAATAGGTACTTTTGAGTAACTCTTCAGGCTACCAACTAGGAGCAGTCAGGGATCAGAAGGCAGAACCAAACTTACCACCACCAATTGTCCATCCACTAGTTTCCGTGTTATTATGGTCTTCTTGCCATCCCATTCTTGCTCCTGGATCAATGACCCATCATCTTTTAGGCTGACAAGGGTCTGAAAGAAACCGAGCATCAGTATTTTACCCATGGCATTTGATGGAGGCTGAGGCTTTCCAACACATTATTCCAAAGGAAAAATTCCCACCCCAGCTCACTCAATAGTAATTTTGCCAATGACACGTACAAAGCCAGGATACTGTCTTAAATGTTTTATTGATCCTCTTCTTCCAGTAGCTCACTGCTCACTCACGCGCTGCTCTGACACGTTCCTGCGCGGGGCAGACCTCTGAGAGCACGCACAATTTCAGTTAACGAGAGCAGGCGACATTCCCAGCTCATCTCTTTGTACGCCGGCTTTGGGCTTTTGTGCAACCTTTATCTGATCTTGCAATAACAGATGAACTGCCAGTGTGTGGCTGGAGGGGGAGGGGGTGCTACCCAAGCACTCACACAAGGACATGAGAGAGACATATTTGAGGGCTGCTTTGTGTTTAACCTCCTTTTGGATGAATATTTTCCCTCTTTGGTGCAGGGAGAAGCTCTTTGCCTTCTAAAACCAGAGGTTAGGGACCGTGATTCACAGGTACGCCTGGTGTGCCTGCTACCCTGCTGCACACTGAGCCAGGCGCTCTTATTATTCACGGACGAGACTGAGCGGAAAGGTTAACCCTAGGGCTGGATTGCCTCTGATTAAACATCAATGGGATTTTTTCCATAGGCTCCAAATGAAGTGACATTTGGCTTTAGCATGGATTTAGAGGTCTGTCAGTTTTACACACACAATGCATTGGCTACAAAATGAAAACAGTAAAATACACAAGACATGATTGGTTTCAGCATTTTCCTTCTTTGGAAATTGCTTAATCCAGGAAAAAAAGAATTTATTTCAATGAGACTTAGAGCGACAGCTGTTCAAAGAAAGCATTGTTAGTATGGATGCCAAAACTGATCTTTAAATAGCGTCTCCATCTGTAAAACACCCAGAAGAACTGTGCATTTTTTCAGTAGAAAGCCCAGTATACTGACCTGAGTTTTCCTGCCATCTAATGTGTTTTCCTCAAATTTCTCACCGAGCTTGAAGCTGAACTGTGAAGTTTTGAAGGTGCTCTCTGTTTTTACGGTGATTGTGTCCCCATCCTTAATAATGTAAACATCTGGTTTGGCCATGCTTCCCATTTTCCTCAAGGCCATACCCACACCTGCAAGGCGAGAGGCACAGAGTGTCACAAAATCAGTTAAACCCTAAGGCTTAGGGCCACACAAGAATTCAAATACCTAATTCCCATTTAATTAGGCACTTAAGTACACTCGAGAATCAAAGCTCAAGAGTCACAAAGAAAGAGGATGTTTTAAATTATCCACTGATGAGGAAAAAAAAAAGAAAAAGCGCTTATTTGCAGGGTTATTCTCAAGGAGCTAAAGTTAAATCTATTTTGGCCTCTAGAGGACTCACAGATCCCCCAGAACTCAGCACTAATTTTTTTTTTTTTTACAAATGGAAATAAACAGGAAAACAAACACAGAAGCTTAATCTAAGATAAAATTATTCCCTTCAAGTTCAGAACACTTTAAAAAGTCTACAGATTTTTAACTGACACATTAATTCACCCGCATATTTATTTCAGCTTACTCAAAACACACTCTTACATCACTCTGTACACAACTGCAAACATGCAATTTTTAATGTAGGTTCATCTTCTACATGCTGTATCCAAAATATGGACTTGTGAATTAGAAAGCTGCCACCATGTAAAATGGTGCTCACAGACAACTCACACACACACGACCGTGAGAGAAGTGAATGATTGAAAATTCATCATCTGTGACCCGCAGCCCTCAAAACTCCTCAGCAAAACAGGTTCACCCTGCCTCCGCCCCTGCGTGCGCTGTTTGAGCGGTTTGCTTGTGTCTGTTTTGATCTGAAGGAGGAAGATAGTAAGAGGGTAGTCGGGCAACAAAGGTAAATCCATCAAACTGGAAAGGGCAGATCTGAACCACGAATTGATAAGAAACAGAGTGGAGCAGAAAGTGCTGCCCAGTCAGCGCGTGCCTGGGATCAGCAGCCAGAAAATGCCGCCGCACAACAGCACAGCGCTCCCCCGGCGCGTGCTGGGTACCCGCTCGAGGGCTGGATCCACACAGCAACAATTACAGTTTCCTTGGGAGGTGGAAATAATAAAGTACTTCCCAGCCACTGCTTCTCAGGACTCAACTAAGATTCCAGGAATGAGCCTTAAACATGAGCCTGCAGAGCAAAACCCAGTCCTCCTCAGTCCAGCTTTTCTGACCACAGCTGGAAGTTATTGTCACAGTGACCCCCCACCCACCCCTCCACTGTCATCCAGTCCAGGGTAGTGAGTTATCGGATCAGCTACACCTTGGGATCCAACTAAACGAAGGTGAGCCGCATGTGTTTTCCATATGGCAAGGAGTGAAATTCAAACTTCTTTATCCTCGAATGTTCTTTCGTACAGACTGAGCAGAATCTCATTTATGGTGCATCAACAGGATCAAAGGCAGAGAGTTTCCCAAGGAGTCAGCGAGGACGAGATCCAATAAAGGACTGGCTCCTAACATGCGGAGTAAATTTAATTGCCTAAATTGTAATGGTAAAAGGAAAAGGCAACTGGTTAAGGATTGCGATCTAAAAACAAACAACACTCAGTTGCTGCCTACACATGGGAGGTGCTCTGCAGTTGCAGCACCTAATTTCTACTCTGAAATGGCAATTTGGCAGATGCCTGGCCCCGGCTGTTAGACGCAGGCACCGTGGCATCCTAATCCAAGGCTGAACCGAGCTTAAAATTCTTGAATTTCCTCCAAAGGGCTGGGTCCAGACGGCTTTCTCGCATCACAGCTACCGCACGCTGACAGGCCTCTCCCAACGGGCAATTACAGCCACCGCCGCCGGCAGCCCGCAAACGCGGTGAGGATGCCGTTTGCACTCTGCGTGAGGAGCGCAGGACCTAAACTCCTTCCTCTCCTCCCGCTGAAGGGACTGAAGGTCACCTCTCCGGAGAAAGGACCCCGGCTTTCAGCAGGGAATAAACCGCGGGGAACAGTCGCTCCCGAG